TAAACAAAAGTTCTGAATGGTTCTGCAGTATTCTGGTCTGGTTCTGCAGTATTCTGGTCTGGTTCTGCAGTATTCTGGTCTGGTTCTGCAGTATTCTGGTCTGGTTCTGCAGTATTCTGGTCTTCAGTCAACAGAAATTTTGAAGTTTCGAACCTTTCTTGGTGTCCAATCCTGAACTTTTCCGTCTCGCCTGAGAGGACAACCTGTCCCGCTGGGCGTACAGGTCCTGAGTGGGAAACAGACACTGAAAAGGATCATCATCATCATCATCATCATGGCCGCCTCCTCTCAGAGTGCGTTCTGTACGGGCTTCAGTCAGGTCCACCTTCACGTTCAGGGGTTCCACCACGCTCCTGCTGCTACTCATCGAGCTGGGAACCTGATTTTCTTTGTCCTCCATTTGTCTTTGACTTTGTTGGGTTGGAACTGCCAACCTGTCGGAGCTACTTGGCTTGGAGAGACTCGCAAGGAAGTTTTTGAAATCAAGATCAAAAAGAGGCTCTGAATCCTTGTTTCCGTCACCAGAGGAGGAGGCTGACTGACGCACATCATCTTCTCCTCCTTCCCCCGGGAGCAAAACGTTCTGACGGGACGTGTCTCCCAGCAGCTCTGCGTGGCCATCGATGTTGATGGTGTGGTTGTGGGTGAAGTCCATGAGGGCGTCCTCTGTGGAAAACATCACAGTTTTCTCCCCGAAGCCACCCCCGATGTCAAAGCTGACCTGGTGAGGAACGTTAGGAACGTATCAGTGAACCATCACAGAAAATTAAACAATTAGAAGCATTTCAATGAGTAACGAGAAGAGTGTAAAAACTATCAACTGAGTAATAACTCACCACGTTCCTTTGTTGAGAGGCATGTAAAGGAGCATTCAGCAGGTTTTCTATACCTAAGATCAGTTTTATTTATTAACAGGAACTCTGTTACACATAATGTGAAAAGGAGTATGGTAAAATTATTCTTACCCATGATCTGTTGACTCCTATCATCAGTGACCGCCACCTGGACTCTTATGTAAGAAAACAGAACTGACGTTAAAACAAAAACAACCTCATGGGTATTCAACCAGAAGTGTAAAGAACATGTCACCTTACCGGTTCTGTGTTGCTGCAGCCGCTGCAGAATGACAGAAATACAGTTAAAATGCAGCCTGATCGATTTAAAATCACATCTCATAAACACACATTTCTGTTTCTCATACTTGCTGCCTTTAGCTCCTGGAGAGGACTTGGAGACGGGGAGGCATTCTTGACGTCTCTGTTAGGAAAAACACCCAGGTTAGGTAGGAGTGAGTATTTTAGGATGGCGGTGCCTGTTGTTTTTACTTTTCAAACTCACTTGTCAAAGACAAGAACATCATTTGCAGGAGCAAAGCTAACTCTTCTTGAATTCCTTTTTTCCACTGGTTTTGTTCTCTCCACCTAAAAAATAATTAAAAGAACAAAATGTATAACCATTAAGAGTGTTTTTTTTATTTTTGTCAAATAAAACAAGACGGGTGGTAAAGAGGTGAGGAAGAGAGGACGGAGTGAAGTTTCAGGGTGGCAGCAAAGGTCAGAAAGGTCAGGTTTACAGGAGAGTAGAGACCAGCACAGGCTGAAGGACTGGGAGCTTAGGGACCAGACTGAGACGGTTTGGACTTGTCCAGAAGAGGTTGTATTGGTAGAAGGACGTTAGAGACGACATGGTAGGAAAATAGTCCTGCAGAACGGGATGTAGCTATTTAAGAACAGAAAAAGATAAATAAAAACAAAACAAACAGCAAAAAAACATCTATGTACCTGATTTTCCTCTTGCTCCGTGTCATTAAACACAGATGATTTCCGTGGTGCTTTTAAAATCTGAAACAAAAATATTATGAACTATACACTTCAGGGATTTAGAAATAGGTTTTATTAAACATTTATTGCAATACTAACAGAGGAAATGCGACGCCTGGAGAGTCGGACTCCTTCACTGCAACAGAAACACAAAAACGAGCAGTTATTTTTGTCCTGATGCAGTTATTTTTGTTTTTCCTGGAATAAACAGAAGGCTGCTCGTTGTTTTTACTCACATGTTCTTTACAGGATCCAAAGGCTCCATTTTCACTGTAAACATTAGGAAAATTAAAAACAGTAAAAAAGATGGTAAGTTGTTTTGCACTGATTGACTTTTTTCACGTTTGATCCAACTGTATGTATATTTTTACTGTTTCCTGAAAGTCAGTTTTTGTTTAGTCAACTTTAAGTCATCTCACTCAGTTTTTAAAAATATTTCTGTTATTTCTTTCTGACCTTTTATTGTTCAGTCCTTGTATCTTATAATAAAAGAATATTGTTGAATGTTACTGAATATATTAATATTTTAAGGTTTGGTACATGATTATCATACAATATAATTTCCTTTTTAAAAGCACATCGTTATCCTTGCTAATCTAAAGGTATAATGTGCAGCCTGCCTCAGCTAATCAGCATAACTACTTTAATAAAGCTAATAATATAAATATGTTGAAGATTAGCATTCCTCGCTCAAAGTTAAAACCCCATCTTCACAGACATAACGAGTTTCAACTGTCTTCTCTTCTTACAGAAAGAGTTTACCTGCGTGATGCTAACAACACAAACCAGACAGGCAGCTGGCTAACCGTACGTTAGCTTCAATGTTAGCTTAATGCTAAAACAAACTTCAAAAACACAGTCAGTACAAACCTTGTCGTGTTTATGAGGTAATCCACCCTTTCTTATTTATAAAGGATGCATCCGTGTTACAAATTCCTTTTTAACCAGATATACCAACTTAAAKATCAAATTAATGCGCGAGTTTTCAAGTTTCTACCTAATCAGTTTGAATTCAGCCGCCCGCGCGCATGCGCATTGAACAGTTTCTGTTACACAGTTTACATTTTACATGTTTCTTTTTATTTATTAATTTATTTTAAAATAAAATCCCATTAAAATTGTTCAGTAACGTAAATATATATATATTAAATAAAGTCTATAAATTAATTTTAACTTTATGCAAACCGGAAGTTGTTGACTCACCGGAAAAGGTTTTAGAGGGCGGGGCGGTCCGTTTTTAAAAATTCGAGGCGCTGTTGTTCATTTGTTGGGTTGTTCACGAGTCTCCTGTTTGTTTTGTTGCGGATATTTACAGGTAGTTATCACGTTTGTGTTTTTATGTAACATTGCTCTTTTTGACATCTTTACTTGTATTAAATGTATTTTGTTAAACCTTAGACAATGAACCGTTTTATGTCGCCGCAGTGAGTGTTGCGTTCAGGAGAATCGGTTACAAAGAACGTTGTGTTTATTACTCAGTTTTTTTACTTTTAAYTAAAACCAACATTGAGTTATGTTTACTGGTCAAAACAGTGTGTATAGAACTAAATTATGTTAGTCACAATGAAGTAATGAGTACAACAAAATACAAAGTGTTTGTTAGCATGGAGTATTGTTATTTTCACGGTTTGATCTCWGATGAATTTGAACTCAGGGATGAAAACCTTCAAGTTAATTTATTTCATTATGTGACTGCAGTCATCTTCAAACTATCGTCATTTAAAATATAAATACTTTGTCATTCTTCTATAAAGCTGTCTTTTATTTTGTTGGTATTTTCTCTTTTGTTTAGAAAAAAAAATGTCTTCAAAAATTCCGAAAGGTGAGCAGATCTTCTGTTTTTACACTGTCTCTGATTTATATCTAATGTGATTTTATTAAAACAATCCCCTGATGTTTACAGCACCATATTTACACACAGAAGCAAAGAAACAAGTCACCAAACAGGAAGCCAAAGACACGGCAGCAGCCAACACCGTCCACAGACCTGATGGCAACATAAAGGCTCTGAAGGAAAATCATCCAAGGTAAACAAGAATTAAGGAAAATAACTTTTATTTTCAATAATGTAATGTAAAAATGTTTGTTGGCTTTAATCACAGTCGTCTTAATTTTAATTCTCATTTTGTCTTTTAGGAAAAATGTTGCTCCTAAAATTCAGAAAGGGTAAGTTTTACAGAAAATTACTCATTTATCCTAAAGGTCATAATGTTTTGGCCTTCGTGTGTGTGTGTGTGTGTGCGTGTGTGTGTGTGTGTGTGTGTGTAAGTAAGGTTGGCTGGTTATATTTTAGTATTAAATTAATAATTTCTGGGCTAAGATGGCCGCCACAGCTAAACAACTGTCAGTCTGTTAGCAAAATATCCGCTAAATCTGGGTGTCAACCCAATTCAACATGGCTGACCTTTTAAAAAGTACAAAAATGGCTATAATTCAGCTGATTTAACAGATCTTGAGCTCAGTTTTAGTGTGGTGGTAGCTGAGCTTGACTTTTAAAAATTAGCTCAACTGTCTGTTAGCAAAATATCATGAAGCAATGGGTGGGTCGTTCACCACGGAGGTATTCTGATTTAAGATGCTACAGCTAAGCTACATTAGCCAAACCACGTATGGCTGTCAGTTTTTCAGACATGGAGCTAAAATCTGGCGTGGTAGTAGCTGATAGTCATCCACATGGTGTACTCTGAGTGCTAAAACCTCTCATGAAATCCCTCATGGCATCGTTTACAAGGTTTGACCAAAACAGCTGCGACGTTTTCTTCTCAGCTTCTGATGATGTCACTTTAAACCTTCAAAGATGGCGGTCGATGTCTGTCTTTAATCTGAAGTTGTTGCATCTTTAGTTTTATTTCTCCCATCGTTGAACCTGTAGGATCTCAACCAGGCACGGGCAGCAGGCAGAACTGAAGGAGCAAAATGAGGAGCTACAGAAAAACCTTCTTGAGACACAGGTGAGGAAACGAAAAATAACATTTATGTGTTGATTTATTTCCTGTAAATGTTTGTTTTTTTATTCTAATGCAGCAAAGAGTTGCTGAACTGAAGCTCCAAATCAACGAGCTTCAAAACAAGAATGTAGAGATGAAGAAAAACCTGCACGACTGTCACGTTCTTCTCGTTTCAGCCAAAGTAGACCCAGGTAACAAAAACAAACTTTACATTTTTGATTTGTTCGCCACGTTATTGATGTAATAAAGTGCTCTTTATATGTTAGTTTCAGGAAAAGCCAGCGGTGATGCAGCACGAGACAGAGAAGAGGAAAGGAAAGAAGTCATGGTAGGTTTCTTTATTTCACTCAACGTTATAAAAATCAGACATGCTGGAACTGCAAATGAAAAAGATAAAAGATCAACATGAAAACAATTTATTCTCTGGAATCGCCTTTTTGTTTTCAGACAAACAGCCTCTAAATCCCCATTCTTCTTTAATTTTGTACATTTTAGGGCGTTTCCACAGAGCTGTTGAGGGAATTAAAAGCTTTCGGGGATGCTGCGGCACAGCAGTGCAGTAGTCTGAAGGTGAGGCTAACTCTGCTCACAGTTTTCTTTTCATTTTCCTTCAGTAAACCAGGTTAAAAACCACATTTAAATGTAGATCTCATTTTCAGCAGGGACCCAGTAGGGTTGGGCATAATCGTATCATCCGCAATTAATCGTCAGAAAAACATTAATCAATGAATTTTTGMCACTTYACYATRAATACYATTAATGRCACCAGACAGACTGATTGGTGCTCCTCTGATTCAAATATGACCAACATTTAAGAAATTTGTGTCATTTATTTATCCATCAACACAATTTAAAGTTTGATGTACAGCCTGAAGTCTGTAATTTTGACACAATTTAGAACAGATTTCTACGAAGAGCTAATTTTCTCCCTATAAACTGGTCATGTGACCAGGATTTAAGGGTGTGCAGGGACTCTGAGGGATTAATCATCAAATTAATCGTTATCGGCTAAATATCACAATTAATCGTGATTAATTCTTTTTGCCAATATTGCCCAACCCTAGGACCCAGGCACAAACTACACAAAAGAGTCACAGTTAAAAAAAAACACAACATTCATTTTAGTTTCTAGTCTTTTGATATTTTAGCTGTTGTTTTGATAAATTTAGCTAGCTTTTTGCTACTTTTAGATTTTAACTGGCCATTAGCAAAATATAGGCTGTGTCCAAAACAACAGGTCAGGTCCTCCGAAGGTCGAATTCATCGTCCGCATATGTCACAGCGCCGCGACGAAGGCCGTCCAAAATCGAAGACTCCTCCAATATGGCCGACAAATACGTCCTTCCTTTGGCCCGAATCGAAGGACAGGTCTGATGGATCCTTCCCGGCCCAACATATCCCATAATGCATTGCGGCCCGACCGGAGATTTTT